GTAAACTCATTTCAACTTATTTTCTACTGGAAATAAGTAGGAATGAGTTTATGTCTTACTATCGAAAATTTCATGTTTTACTTAGTACCAAATATMAAAGGGCGCGCGTTTTGAGTCTTTTTAGTCTTTACGTTGGAGTATAGTTAAGATTCCAGATTCCAAAAAAGACTGCAATAAAGTCCGGCTTGCTCTCAGTCTGTCCGTTGAATATTTGATTCCCGTTATTACAAAAGTAATAAAAATGCCAGATTTACCAGTTTAGCACATCTATAATAACGGGAAAAATCCTCGAACGAATCGAACAAGTCGATTTTCTAAGAAAACACGATTTCCACGCGCCAACGCAGTCACCACCATCTGATTCATTCATTCGATAACGAGATCGTACAGTACTAAACGCCTTTCTACGCGACCAACGGCAATCCACAGTCCACAGTGCCGTACTCGTACTTACTCCTGGTATCGCAGCCTATGAAACGTACAAGTCTCGCATACCTGTACATACGGTACGGTACGTAGTACGACGGATTCGATCCTCTTCGTCCGCAGGGAAGGATTGTACAGTACTACTCACTTGTATGCCGCTCGCTGCCTGTTACTTCTATGTTAGGTTTCCTTTCTCGGAATCCTTCTGTTCCGATCACAACCGAAGCCGAAGCCGCCGCCGACGACGACGCCCTGCACCGCCGAACAAGCCGGAGCAACACACACACACCTCTCTATCTCTCCGAAGCACCCGGTCCCCAACCATGCCTTCCCGCCAACGCTACAGCCTGTGCGCCCTCGCCGCTGCCGCAAGCCTCGCCGCCACCGCCGACGCCCTGGTGGTCCCCCACGTTTCGAGGCCCCGTGGCGGACCCCTCTTCCACAAGGCCCCGAAGCACGACGTCGGCAAGGGACAGGCCGGATCGATCGAGGACCTTCCGGCGGACCAGAGGGAACGCATCGAGGCCTTTGTGGAACACCAGAAGGGGGTTCCCAGGATCGGCTTTCCGGCCGACGTTCGCTCCCTGGTCCAGTACAACCACGGGTTTGCCGTGATGAGCACCCACAGCAAGTCGTACGTGCCGCGCCTTGCTTCGCGCCGGGGGCGGGGAAGACCTCCCTGTCCCCCTGGTTTTGGCAACCCGCCCGTCGTTCCCTCACCGGCCCGTTTCTTTTTGTGTTCTGTTGTTCTTTTTTTGCTCGGTTTTGCTCTGTGTTTTTTGCCCATTCCCGCCCGCTGCCAAAGAAACCCCGGATTTCCCGGCGGGAGCGTCGTGGGCTTCACCGTCGACGAAGAGGGCCGGCCCCTCTTTGTCTTCAGCGGAATGTCCAGCCACACCCAGGACATCCTCGCCGACCCCCGCTGCAGCCTGACGGTGGCCGACAAAAACTTCAAGGGCGCCGCCGACGGCCGTGTCAACCTCATGGGAACCGCCGAACGCCTCCGGGACGAGGAGACCATCGCCGCCGCACGCGAGCTCTACCTCCAGAAGCACCCGGGGGCCTTCTGGGTCAACTTTGGGGACTTTAACTGGTTCCGGATGGAGGTCGAGTCGATCCGCTTCGTCGGGGGCTTTGCCCGGGCGGGGTCCGTCTCCGCCGGGGACTACAAGGCCGCCAAACCCGATCCCGTCATGGCCTTTGGCGGCCACGTCGCCGCCCACATGAACGACGACCACTCGGAGGCCACGATGGCCATGGTCCGCCACTACGTACCCGGCCTCGACGCGGAGGGCTACGTCGAGGGAGCCCTCATCAACCGGGTGGACTCCCTGGGCATGGACGTCACGGTCACCCGGAACCAGGCCGACGAAACGACGCTCCCCGGCCAGCCGCAGCAGTTCAAGGTCCGCCTGCCCTTTCCCGAACCGATCACCGAACGCGGGGCCGTCAAGACGGCCATCGTCGAGATGACGAGGGCCTCGGCGCCGGCACCCGCCGAGTAGGCGGGGTACGCCCGCGGCCGCCGTCCGGTGGAGCCTAGAATACTTCAGATACAAATTAAAATACACAAACGCTGTTCCTTACAATGTTGCCAACTTTTGCCCGTCGCGTGTCGCTAAATGTTGCCACTCGCACGTGTAGTTTGTATTGTTTTGGGAGTCTACACGGGTTTAAGCAGAGAGTAAAGAGAGTTCACTAAAACAAGCCGAGAAAATCAATACCGGGGGTATTCCAAGGGGGGACGGGAGAAGACCAGAGGCTCATTGTCGTGCAAACCACGCAGCGTTGTAGCATCCTTCCGTTTGTCTTGTTGTCCCGGGCACGGGGAAGCCGGTGATCCACCGTCGTTTCGTTTCGTTCCGCGAGCCTGCCTCGGTTTTCACCCGCGGGCACGAACCACGCGACGCACCCATTCCTCTCGCCTCGGGCGTTTCCTTGTCCGACGGATCGCACCGTGGTGGCCGCTTGTGTCCACCGCACGCGGCCTCGGACCCCGCCCGTGTCACGGCCCTGCCGCGGGGAGGCCTTGCTCACGCCGCTCGGGGGGGCGGGTCTGCCCTCCCGCCCGCGTCGTACCACTCCCCCGCCCGGGGGAGAAAGGCGCCCCCGGGGGACTTTCCCTCGAAGCGGACGCGGACCGTCGGGGCCCCCGGGTCGGGGCTCCGAAAGGCCGAAAAGTGCAGGTGGGGCTCCGGGCTGAACCCAACGCTCCCGCTGTATCCGAGGACCTGCCCCTTCGCCACGCGGTCGCCGGCCCGGACCAGCGTCCTCGACAGGTGGACGTATTCCACCAGCAGGGGGCCGCCGCCGCTTCGGTCCCCCCCGACCTCCAGGAGTATGCTGTTCCACCGAAAGAGGTTGGTCACGGCGATTCCCGTCAGGGTGTTCTCGTCCCCGGCTTCCGCGACGACCCCGTCCGCCACCGCGAGGACCTCGGTCCCGATTGGGCACCGAAAGTCGATCGCGTGCAGGTTCCCGGAAAAGAAGTGCGTCAGCTCCCCGTCCTCGCCCTGGGTGCACAGGTACGAGGCGGTCGTGGTGCCCGGGGCCTGGCCGAGCGGAAAGCCCAGCAGGCAGGGGTGTTCGTCGGAGGGATCTGGGTGTTTTCGCCATTCCGAGACGTCGCTCTCGATCACCACGGAGGAAAGATCCCTTCCCTCCGGCAGGTCGAGGTAGCCGAGGTGGGCAAAGACGAAGGGGGGGCACAGCACCACAAAGGTGACGCACCGCAGGGTCTTTCCGTCGTTGTCGGTCGTCGATCCCGGGGTGAGTTCCCTTCCGTGGGCACCGATCACCGCCGTTTCAAAGACCGTGACGTAGGCCACCTTGGTGTGCGCGTCCAGGTTGCAGACCGATACCGTGCATTCCTCCGGATCCAGGGCAATGTCCGGGACCTCCAGCGCCTCGCCGTCCTCGACAAAGTCCGCCGGATCGACGTCCTCCCATCCGATCATCCAATCGGGGGCCTCCTGCGCGTCCCCGACCCCGCCGCGCCGAGCGATGAAGCATCCCGGGCCGGCCTCCGAAACAAAGTTCGGGTCTCGCGCCGCGGGACGCTCCTTCTTTTTCTTGTGGTTCTTTCGGTGGCTCTTTTTCCGTCCCGAGTTTTTTCCCATTTCGGAGGCCTTCGGTTGGTTGGCTGTGCTGTGCTGTGCTTTGCTTTGCTTTGCTGTGCTGCGTTGCCCCGGGGTTCGGTTTGGTGGTTCTGTGCTTCKACACAGTCTCGTTGGTGTTTCGGGAGAAGAACAGATTCTGATGTTCCAAGCGAAGGCTGTTTGCTCCGTAGATCGTTTCGAGGTCGGAGTGTGTTTGATGCACCGGTGTGTTCTTGCTTGTTTCGAATGATTTTTGTCGATTCCAACTGAGATCGACTGGACTGGTGCCGCCGATCGTTCGAAGAAGGAAATACGAAATACAGGAACAAACCTCGCGGACTACGGTACCGTACTTTATCGTACGAGCCTCCGCAACAGGAACACTGCTTGATTCCTACCTTTCGTACCGTAGGAACAAGGCATGAACCTATCATCATATCATCATACCATACCCTATGTACCTCATACCTAATGGCCGTACAGTACGAGCACGAACTGTACGTAAGACGTAAGAAGTTCATAGGAATGAGTGCCTTGAAACTTGAAACGGAACCTAACGGTCGATTGCAGCGACACACCAGTGTGAGTACGTACCGTACCGTGTAGTAGTACCTATAGTACCTATTAACACGGAATCCCGGTGATCCCTTTCAGTCGTGCATCTCGATGATCAGTCACGCTAACACAACATCGGCGCGGGGACATGACGAAAAACGAACCGGTGTAACGGAGAAGAACCAACAAATACTGTATCTTTCTACCGTACCAGGTGCCGTATCGTATCGACCAGCTGTCATAACAAAACCAGCGACAACGATGCAAACGCAAATCAGCAAAGAGACCGATAACCTCATAGACACCCAGGATGGCTGGTACGGACGAAACGATCCGAGGCCCTTGACACGCGGTAAACGAATATTTATTCGCACCATCCTGATCGTTCTTTCCCCGATCGTCTTGGCTCTGTTCCTCCTGTACGTTGCATTCACTGCTGCCTTGTTGTGTGTTGTGACTGTAAACGACTATCAAATCAAATCGAGCAAGGTGCTGTCCTATGAAAACTGGTGGAGGGCTCCCGGTAAGATGCTCCGGGTAAAAGAAACAGGGGATAGCTCCAGCGACATTGTCATTTCCGCGGACATGGTGAACGACGACGGAGAGCTCGACACCGGCAAGAACACCAGCCTCCGAAAATCGATCGAGTGCACCCTCGGGGAGCACCTTCGGAAGGGGCCCCACGGTCCAGGGATCGCGGCCGACGAAGACCGAGACCGGCCCCACTACCTCCTGCACGGCTGGCCGGAACCCTTCGACCCCGCCGGCGACGAGCTCTGGTGCACCCACGCCCGTACGGCGACGTGGGCGGCGATCTACAGCTGGTCGGTCCGGCTGCGGCCCGGGGGGTTCCTGAAGAACTGGAACCAGGCCATCGATCTGGAGACGGCCCCCGAGGTCTTTGGTTACGTGTATCTGTTCGAGATCGGGAATCCGGACTTTTACGACAAGGACCGGATCGCACGCGTCGGTGCCCTCGCGGCGAATGCCCCCGACCACACCCCCGAGACCGAGAACAAGGTCTTTGCGCGGTACAACTACGGCCACGTCAAGTACATGGGCGACTTTCCCGAGGGAGACCCGGATGCCTATGTCTTCAAGGGCGAAAAGGTGATGTCGGAGGCACGGCTTCGGCTGTTGCACACGTACCGCGTGATCAACCCGAACTACGCCTAGAGGAATGGCTTGGGATTCTGTGTGCTTCTCGGTATTTTTGGTTGATTGTGTGAAACAAACACGGTTTGGTTTCTCTTGGACTGCGAAATGGAGCAGAGAAATGAGACTATGGGTAATAAGCGCAGAATCGATTTCGAGGTATATTTTAATGGGTATTGTTAAGCTTGAGCATTAGAGCAAACGACTGTAAAACCCAAAGGAGTGTTTTTCTTTCTACTTCGAAGTACTTGTAAGTTTTGCCTTAATTCGGCAAGGCAAATCTCCGCAATGGATCTAATGCGGTCGTCCTCTCCGGCGGCGTCAAACAAGTCGTAGATGGATGCGTGGAAATGGACCCAAACGGATATGCCTGGCGTGTGCCCCCGAACGACAACCAAACCAGGGTGCCTCCCGCCCCCGCGGCTTGCGGTGTTCCGCGGTGTTGTGCCTTCGCTGCGCTGGTGCCGGGGCTTGCGCGTGCCCGTTCCGCTCGCCCCCAATTTCCCTACGGCGGCTTTCTCGCGATCGCTTCGGACGGATAGTACTCCCTCATGTAGTATTCGCTCTGGGCCCGGGTGTCCGGATCGAAGAGGCGCAGTATGTCGTCGACGAGCGGAACGATCCGCTCGGCCAGCATCCGCTGCACGAAGAGGCTCTTTTGCGCGTTGTACATGGAGAGCGTCAGGGACGACCTGGGGGAGTCGTCCTGCGTGGTTTCCAGGCCGTCGAACTCGACGATGGACGCGAGCGCCTCGATCAGGTCCTCCCGGTACGTGTCCATCTGTTTTCGCTTGGCGCCCTTGCCGACGTAGTAGACCAGGTCGTCCAGGCACTCCCGGACGTGGAGTCCCTTGAGCATAAAGACGTTGGCGGTGGCCCCCCCGCTGATTCGCTTCGACTCGGCCACCACCACCTTGGATCCCAGCCTCGCCTCGAGGTACAGTGATTTCTTTTTGTCTTCCCAACCCTCCGGTGTTTCGTCGCCGGGTGCCTCCCCCAGCTTCCGCGAGAGTCCGAGGGCCCAGGACTGGAGCCTCATCAGGTTCACCAGGCACAGCTCTTTCTGCCGCCGGTCCTCCGGCTGGTCGAAGAAGGGCAGGGCGAGCGCCCGGCTGTTGCTGTTTCCCCGGTCGAGCAGGACCAGGGACGCGAGCTGCGGCACCGTGGACACGATCATGTCTCGCCGGCGGTTGCGGCTGCGGTTCTTCTTCGGAATGCCTTCCAGCCCCCCCGGGACCCGAAAGCCCTCTGCCGCCCGCCGGTGGGCGAGAAGCGACAACACCAACACCAAAAGCGACGCCCGGAGGATCGTTGCCGCGCACGGGAGCAGGCGCAGGGGCTTCCTTCTGCCGTGGCGGCGGAACCGAACCAGCACCATGCTATCGTGCCGTGTTGCGTTGCGCTGTGCTGCGTTGCGTTGCGTTGTGCGGTGCCTGGTTTCGCCCGATCCGATCCGATCCGATCTGGTTTGCTCCGGTCTGGTCTTGCTCTGGTCCAGTGGGAATCCTTTCGATCTGTCGGCGGATTGTGAGAGGGCCGTGTGATTGCGAACGGTACCTGGTACCCGTACCGTAAGTTCCTACTAGTGCTCGTACTACGTACTCGTACTGTAATACCGATATGAATAGCTGTTGACGACGGAAGAAAAATAAATCTTTCGAAACTCGGAGTGCTTAGTCATACTACCTGTATGTCAGTATGAACCTATGCCGCGTACGTACGATACGATTCTCACTTGGATGATGATGCGTGGAAAATGTGTCAGCAAAATTCCAATTTCCAACCGCTGAATTCTGTTGCGGATTGCGAACGACCGTCGTACGTAGGTATATAGGTACTCTTCCTAGTAAAAATAAGAAGATACCTTACCACAGTTTGTTGTTTGTTGGCTGTACGCACGCGCGCGATGCGCGAAACAAGTACTAGTACTCGTAATTACCCGTGTACAGTGCCTGGTACGTTTTGTTGCGCACCCTAAACATCGTAGTTGTAGAAAACCTTACGACTGCTACTTCGCACGTGTAGCAACGTACGGTTGTACCGTACCGTACGGTATGATGCGCAGAGGGTGATTTTTGGGATGATTTTCTTTTTGGTTGACCGAGATGATGACAGAGTTGATTATTCCACGAGTCCTTCGTGCGGTAAGCGTCCATCGCGTTGTTCCGTCGACACACTTCTCGGAAGGAACACTTTTGGTGCTTGGTACAGTAATGGCCACCGGGGTTCGATCTGTTGGGAACCGAAAGTGACAACATTTCGACCAAAGCGATTGATTGATTGCCCGGAGGATTGTCTGGAAGTGATTTTTGGAGCGTTTGGCTTGGCTTGGCAGCAACACAACGCAACGCAACGCAACGCAATACAACGCAACGCAACACACCCGACCCTCGAGCTCCTTTTCTGTCGCAGACCGCTGGCCACCGATCGCGGGGGCTACCAGAGACAGCGCAAAAAGCACGCAGACCAGCACAAAACCCGATGTTTTCCTCCTCCGTCCTCCGCTCGCCCGCCTTTCGGAGGTCGACGACCCTCCTGACCGTCGCGATTTCCGCGAACGCGTGGGTCGCCAACAACGCCTTTGCGATCTCCGCCCGGCGTGCGATCGCCCCCGCCACGAGGACGACCCTGGCCGAGGCGGCCCCGTCCTTCTCCTCGTCGGCCGAGTTCGGTGCGAACGAAGGCGCGAGACACGGGGCCTGCGGCCGGGCCTTTTATCCGAGGGACGTGTACTACGACGCCGAGGCAAAGAGCAAGCTCGAAGAGCTGAGGGCGCTGCGACGGGACGAAATCGCGGACGGCGGGGGCGCTGCAAGCGGCGGCGGCAACAAGACCAACACCAACAGCACGACCCTTGGTGTGCTGAAAGAATCGGGGGGGAAATACTCGGGCACCCTCACCCTGATCGGATACAAGGGCGGACCGCTCGAGTCGCAGATCAACCAGGATCGAGCGGTGGTCCTGTCACCGTTCGTGGTGGGAAACAAAAAGGACACGGACGGGGCAGGAGGCAGTGACAACGACAGCGACAGCGTCGACAACAACAGCAACAAGTTGATCGGGTGCTTCGACGGACACGCCCGGCTGGGCGAGGTTGTCAGCGACTATGTCGTGAAGGAACTTCCCAAGCTGCTGGCGTCGAAACTCGACAAGATCCAGCCAAAATCCAATTATACGGACCAGGTGTCGCAGGCCATCACGGAGACCTTCGTTGAGATGGACCGAACCGCCCCGGCAGAGATATCCGGCGGGTGCACCGCGACCATTGTTCTACAAAAGGGTTCCAGGCTCTACGTCGCAAACGCCGGGGACAGCCGCTCCTTTGTCGTCGTGTACCGGGCCAAAGCGAAGACCGCGGAGGTTGTCTACATCTCGAGAGAGGACAAACCCAGCCTGCCGGACGAGCGGGAACGCGTGGAAAAAGCCGGTGGCAAGGTGCTCTTGCCGCCCACCGGCACCTCGAGGGTGTTGTACACGGATCCCGAGTCCGGCCTGACGAGCGGGCTGGCCATGTCCCGGTCGATAGGGGACTGGGAGGTCGGAAAGTTCGGCGTCATTCCCGATCCCATCATCGACACCATCGACATCGACGAGGTCGTCGAGCAGCATTCGGGCGGGTCGGAGGACGACGTTTGCATTTTTGCCGTGTCGGCGACGGACGGCTGCATGGACTACACCAACCCGGAGGGCGTGGCCGCCGTGCTGGCGAGGAGCATGTACGAGGACGAAAGCCCGCACCTGCTCACCGCCATGGAACAGATCATTTACACGGCGGCCGCGGGGTGGGAACGGGCGAAGCGCGGGACCTACCGGGACGACATTGCCATTTCCGTGTGCGCGATACGAATACCCCCCTCCCTCCTTCAAGGCAGGTAACACACCGCGAAGCACCACACCACACCATAGCTACCACGCAGGCCCCCGGGGTCTATCCATACATAGAATCGAGTAGATTATCACTAGTTCCGAACCATATTGAACTCTCGTCTTTTTTGCCGTAGTATTGTTTGGTGAACCCTGGTATTGAACCACGAAACCGTTTACGAACTGCGCCTTTTTTAAAAGGCAATCTGTGGTACCAGGTACTCTACGAAGTGCGTTACAGTAACAGCAGCTCCTGCGGTACGATTCAGAAAAAGGAACTAGAAGATTGTAAATACAGTCGTTACGACATTGTTACAGCACATTTCTGTCTACCAAATCGATCCCTGACCGCCACCGTTCGGCAAGCTAGAATTGCCACCCGTTGAAACGTTCCATAACATACTCTTTTGATTGTCGTCCGACTCGTTTGTCGTTCCGTCACCAAAGAAGGAAGGCTGTAGAGTGGTTTCCAGCGAGGAGATCTGCTGGCCATCTCCCCAGATCGATGCCGATCCGGTGGACCTGTTCCTGGAAATCGAATTCAGAAGCCTAGAGCCACCAATGTCGTTGCTTTCGTTCGAATCGGCCTGACCAAATCCAAAAGGAATCGACATTGGGGGTTCCTCCGACTTTGGTCCATCCACAAACGAAGCACCTGACAGAATTGTATCTGCGGCTCCAGAATTCATCGGTCGTACATTGTCAAAAGAACTCTGAAGGCTCGGTCCAAGAAGGGAGCTAGTATGGCCCACCTTCGACGCACCATGTTGCGGTAATATACCGGGTGGAAATCCTACACCGTGTGATTCAGAAGGCTGGGGCTCCCCAACAAGATCGTTCAAAGGAGCAAAGTCTTTCTGTAGGGAAGCGCTAGGATTTACACTACCCGGTATTGTAAACGATGGCACGAATTCCTTTGCGGTAGCTCGTATTTCTCCCTGCCGACTTTCTGGCGAAAATGGAGCTCCCATGGGGCCTTCTGACAAGGGGGGTACAAGAGATCTAGTAGCAGCTGAAATAGGCGCAGCCGATGTTGACAAGAACCCTGGAGGTGGTACAGATGGCTGGGAAGCAATGGGAACAAACTCCTTCGACGACACGGACATGGTCCTACTGCTACCGAACGATGATACCGTTTTGTCGTCGTCGAGAGAAGCGAGGAAGCTCGAAACAGGCAATGCATGCTGTTCAGTTGCCGTCGGTGGTGTTGGAGCCGCTGAAGATGTTGGCTTTGAACCAATGCTTTTAGATTGGTTAGCAGAGACAGGAAACGGTTTTGGATTAGCACTTATCGGTGGAACTCCCCATTTGTTACCACCAATTGGCAATCCCGATGTACCGGTTGTTAGCTTAGGCTGTCGAGGAGGTCCTTTCAATTTCGAAACATTAGGTACGGGCAGGTCGGGTGTTGCCATTGGTTTTGGAACAGGAAGCGGCACCGCAGGACGGGGGACATTGAAGAATTTCTGAGCGACTTTTGCCTTCGCTTCCTTTTGCTGCCGTGCCTGTTCTCGATTGTTCCACTCCCTGTTTCGACGCCTAGCTTCTTCGCGTTTTGCTGCTAGTCTGCGCGCAGCCTCTTCCTGTTTGCGGACGGCCTCGAGTTGCTGTTTCTGCTGTTCTTTTTCGTTAGTTGGCAGCGAATCTTCTGTCCGTGTGCGATCGTATGCGGCATTTTCTTGCTGCAGCTGGTCCGTTCCATCTGGGATTCTCGTTGCTTCGTTAGCGCTTTCTTCGGTTTCGCCTTGTCCTAAAATCCACGTGACGAGATCGTCGGCTGTTGCACGATGCGTTCCACCACAGGCCTTGACGGCTGCCATGATCTGGCTTTCGGCGAATCCCATACCCAAAAGTGCCGTGACAAGCGGGTCTTCCTTCTCTTCTACTGTTGCCGCATTCGAATGATCCAAAGCCGAGTTGTGTTGATTGCTTGTATTATTTCCTCCGGCTCTGGATTCTGCGTCTTTCCCATTCTGTTTCTTCTTCTTTTTTTTCTTCTTCTTGTTTCGAGCAGAAGTTTCGGATTGGTTCACTTTTCCGTCCCCGGTATTTGCTTCGGCCTCACGATTATTCTCCGCTTTGTCGTTCGACGAAAGTGGTGAGTAACCATGTTTTTCGATACTCGACAACCTGTGATGCACACGCTCTAACTTCTTCAGGAAAACCCTGCGTTCCTGGTGATGGTTGAAAAATGCATTCGTCATTTCTTGCAAAGCCAAGCCATGCGTCTCTATAACTTCTTCATAGTTGCAAGCTTGCACACACTGCACTAGTTCCCGGGGTGTCAGGCCTACCCCATCGCTTTCTCTCCATGTGTGGGTGACATCCGTAAGAGTCGACAAATTACTTCCCTTGGCCAGCAACAATTCCAGTACCTCGGACGATCCAGATACCGCTGCATAATGCAGCGGAGACCATCCAGACTCGTCACATGTTAAATCCAAAAACGAGCTTGGCAAAGGATCTCTCCCATCACTTGGCTCGTATATTTCTACCTTGTCAAAAAGGAGCTGCAAAAACCTCACGTCTCCGTGAAAACACGCTGTATGGAGGGCGGTTCTTCCGGTCCGTAATGGTTTGAAGGCCAACAGTAGTTCAGTATGGAGCACATAATCTGCGAGCCGCAATCTGGCCTCTATGCCTCTCTCGACCTGTGCTCGATTTTTTGCGACCGAATTCGGTAGCAAAAACTCCAAGTGGGGTATTATACAAGATGTTGATGGGTGTGTTGTGTTGTCGTTACTGTCGTTCTTGTTTCTGTTTTTATTGCTGTTCTGCTCTTCCATCAGTTTCCGCAGAGGGGACTCTTGTAGCAACCCATCCAACTTGGTAACCTCGTTCGATTGACACGCGGAAACTACCCGACTTCTCCACGACACTATAGATTTTTCTCGTTTCTTTTGGGCTGCTTCTGCTGCTTTCTGTGCCGCCTCTTCTTTTAATTTTGCCTTTCTTCGTTGCTTCTTTTCTCGTTTCTTGGCTGCCTTCCGCTCCCTATCGTCTGCTTCGGAGGAGAGCAGGTGGTCGTTTATAGCAACTTGCTCCAGAGACTCCCAGTCCCCGGAAGCAAACTGAGAAGCCAGCTTTGCGGCCTCCTCCTTCTGCTTGCGATGGTGGAGAAGAAATTCCACTTCTTCGAACGTCAATTCCCGGTTTTCGAACGATTCTTCGTCTTCGTCGTCCTCGTCTTCCCTCGCTGCATAATTGCGTCGGAGGGCTTCCCAGGATGCTCCGTCAGCGAAGAAACCAGCCGTGGCCGCTGCCATGTGATCCGGAAGCATACCAGCGGAAGCTGCTCCCGTAGCCGCGGCAGCCATTGCCGCAATCGAGGACGTGTCCATCGGATTTGCTCCAAAGCTGAAGACAGGGCAGCTATCGTTTTTGTGGGAAGACCCTGAATTGGAGTTGTAACTGGAACTTTTCTTTGAATCGCCGCTGTTGGTATTGCTGCTCCCCGAAGCACCACCACCTCCCTTGTCGCCGTGATTGTTGTTGTTGCTGCTGTTCATGGACATGCCCATAATTTCTACAAACATGCTCATGAGTGCTTTCATTTCCGCCTCGGTGCAAGGAAGGCCGTGTTTGTTACGAAAAGATTTCTGKCCTGCAGCAGCGGCGGCCGCCTTCTCTTTCAGTGCCTCGAGGTCTAGGTCACCAAAGCTGACACCGCCCATGCTGCAATCGCCACCCATCATGGCTGCCATGCTGGCCGCTGCAGCAGCAGATTGGCTCATGTTGATGGTGCTGCTGTTGCCGCTGCTCGTGCTACCGCCGCTGTCTCTTTGTTTGGATTTTGCGGCGTTTCCGTTCGACGAGGATGGGGGCCGCGATGGACCGAAGGAGATTTTTACCTCGGTTCCCCCCCTCCCCGTGGTTCGTTTTTCCGCCGATGAGATTCGTTTGAAGTTATTCTTGGGGGATGCTCTGTCTCCCTGCATTTGCCGCTCCATGTATTTCGCGGTGCTATCGCTCTCGGAATTGCGGTTCATGTTTAGGGCCGGTGCTGCGTTCGAGCCCTTGGGTCGGATGCACTTGGTGATGGTTGTTGTTGTGGAAATGTTGACCGTTCTGGTGGCACTGATCGTTTTCCCGCTAGCGTTGGTGATTTTGACGGGGGTGATCTGCACGGCAGAAGTCGTTTTGCTTACGTCTCTACTGAGAATTTTAGCGCCGTTGACGCTACTTCTATTGTTGCCGACCGTAAAAATCGCCGGGGCCGAAACTTTGCGCTTTTTCCCACTGCTAGTGGTGGCGGCCATCGATAGTCCCGGAAAAAATTAGAATTCGACGATGTTTCACCCAATGAAGAAGAGTTCCTACACCTGCTTGAATTGCTGGATAAAAATTCTTCCTCCTGTCGGAAAGGGTGGTGTGCAGCGGAGTACTGTTGCTCAGTTAGAAAAACAACAAGCGAAGAACTCTCTATCAGTTGTCTTGCCGCTGCCGTTGATAATTTCTCTTCGAAACGCTCCTCCTCTAGGACGTCAACGCAGCGCTTCAAGGGAATTGATTTTGGTTTCTTTGAATCCCTCCTTCAGGTCGGAATATATTATATAAGATCTCCTCTTGTTGTGTGGTGCGCCTGCCAAGGAAGCGTACGATAGTTCGTTTGCTGTGTTGTAGCTATCTGCGCTTTCTTATCGATTATTGTTGTTCACCAAGCTTTTGGTGAATTTTGTTTTTTTAATTTTTCACGTGATCATCAAGACGGACATCCCAAAGAACAGAAGCAAGGGCAGCGTACCGTATCGTACGATACAGTACGTACGTATGGTTAGAGTAGAAACTAATGCGTACGGTACGTGCGTCTGTCGGCCTTGCCTGCATTGCGTTGAAGGAGATATGGCGTGCTTGGCTTGGGTAACATCAGGAACTAATGTTGCGTTGTGTATTTAAATTTTTACGGCGCTGGACAGACCAGCCTACCGGTACCCAACGAGGAGGGGCGATAATGTTTTGCTTTTTTGAGTGCGGTGCGAGCGGAAAAAGGCGAACACGTTTCGCCGAGATTTTGATCGAACGAGTCAAACATTAGCGAAGAATAAATGTGACGTCAACACCATCAAACTCTGGGAAAGGAACAAACATAGCGATAGCGCTAACACATCCATTTCCAATTGAAGCGATTTTGCGTGACGCGAGGTGACACGATTTGGCTGTCAGAAATCGAAATATTTTGAAAATAACATCAAGATCGAATTTTGATCGATCGATCGATCGATCGATCAAATCAATCAATCAAAGCGGCAATCACAAAAAATAAAAACTTGGGCGATTGCTCCCAATGCCGTTACATGTTTCTTTGCATCGTTGATTCGTATGCGGCAGATGTTGGCGATAAAAAGTTCTTGTTGGAAAAACACGACATAAAAAACAACAACAACAACTAAACTCAATTGCATCACCGAGCCATTCGAATACTTCTTGCAACGTACCATCATGTTTGTCATCGGAAACAACAAACGCGATACTTCTTCTGACAGGCACCTTCGTCGAGATCGAATTGTCAATGCGAAACGCAATGCTCCAGTGTCGACGTCAAGGTGGGAGGAAAGGACCCAACACTTTAAAGATGTCTTCCTTTTCTTTGCATTATGTATGATCTCTACATCCTTTCTCTCGGAACAATGTGCAGTAGAAGCATTTCAGATTGATAGCGTGGGGGCAGGGCCGAGGCAAAGGCACAAGGCTCAAGAACAATTCCGAACAATATCAGCAAGCACGACGACGACGAAATCCCAGTCGTGCTCGGAATCGGCAGCAAAAATGCAACTGAGTGTTGTCCCCCTCAAAGTCGCAGAAGACAACTATTCGGGGGACTCTATCGAAACCGAGACGATGACGGTGGCCGGGAATAGCACCAGCCAGTTTTTAATGAACTTTAATGCCTCGGGATCGATAGGTTCGCTCCTTATGCAGATGCAAAAGAAAGAAGCAGAACTGAGGCAGCTCAACCAATCCGCATCGCTGCTCCTCAGCGAAGACCAGGCCCTTAAGCTCGATCCTAACGACGGAAGCAGTACCAACCAAGAGCCGACGGCACTCAAGAACAACCTGTTTTCATGGATCCGGAAAACGAATGGGTCTGCAAAGAATGGATTTGCCGATGTCGATGCCCCAACCGCGTCCGAGGGTGTCAATGGTTCCACGGCGGAAGCCATTAGCTCTATGAACGACGAAATGGCCAGGGAATTGGATGATTCTGTTTCCATTCGTATCACGAATTCTGTGAAGGATATCACGCTTCTGGGACCTCCGGACATTTACCAAAGGTCACGATCAGAAGAAGGAAACCAAGACGATGACACTCCGTTTCGGACGGTTTTGGTTGAAGAGGAAACGCAGACGGAAACAAATGCCAAGAACGAAAATGCTGTTACCGAGGACAAGCTCCCTCCTCTCAGTCGGCCAGAGCACTACGATAGACGGATTGGGAGGGACATGAGACACCTTTCGGTTTCGATTGCGTCTTGCATCGATAGTGTTGAAGAGTGGCAATTATTTTGTCAGCAAACGCCGGGTGGACTAGCACCACTGGTCGAATGCATCCGGGAGGGTGCGGAATCTATTCGGGAAGGGAGTCCATCGTTGGCGTCGCTATCATTAGAACACCAGTACCTGGCCAGCAGCCCCTATAGCAGTGGTTCAACCACTAAGGAAGAAAATTTTCAGGCCGCGTCCAGTGCCTGCAAGGCCATACGGGACTTGTGCGCTCTCTCCCTAGATCTAGCATCGGTCATCACTGACGGGCTTTTGCGGGCAAACGCTGCCTATAAAGAACAAGGAGAACCCTCGCTGATGGACGACCTCTGTACGATTTTGCGCTACGACGACGAATTGTCAGACCTGCTCGTGGCCCCGAGAAGGAGGCGACGTCGGAGGCTGCTTTCCTTTCGCCGACGAAAAGGAAAACAAGCGGGACAAGAGACTCCGCAACCCGACCCTTCCGAAAATGACCCGTTGTCGTCGCCGACATCGAAACCGAGCAAGTGGCCTATAGGGATTTTCAGACGACGCAGGGAAGCGCGCCTGCGGTGGAAATTGTACGTCACACAACTGTTGCTTGCTATGACCTGTGCCAGTGACTCCGCCGTCGATGCCATCCGATGCACGGAAGGACTGCAGGACGTCCTGTTGGTGCATTCATCGTATGCTCGCAAGGAACGACGGCGGAGATGGATGCGATACCCGGGGGAACTGATCAAATCGATGTGGCTCAAAAAGCGCAAGCTCAGGAACAACAAGGAAGCCTCTCCAGCGACACCGGAGCAACGCCGACAACCGTTTATCGAGGCAGCGTCTCTGAAAGCCAATCTGAGAGGGAGAATCACTGGAACCGCAAACCAGGTGCTGGCCGCGATCGGTTACAATGAATGGGTTCCGAAGATACCGGGGCAAAAGGGCCTCAGGTAAGTTTTGCACCTCGGCAGTTTTTGGGCCTCGCGATATTATTCTAGTTTACAACAATCATTGAAAGCAAGGCTCACATTTCCACACACGGTGTACCAATCGAATTAAAACTTATTGATTTCCGTCCGGTTGGCAGGATATTATGCCTGGATGGTGGGGGGTCGCGGGGAATGACTTCTGTAGTTGCGATGAAATGCCTCGTAGATTCTTTGGGTGGAATGGAAGTCGCAGATTGTTTCGACCTGGTTGTAGGAACTAGTACTGGTGCCATCATTGCGTTCCTCGTGGGATTAAATCGTGAGACGAGTGAGCAGGCTGTCGAGCGCTACGATGTTTTGATCGAGAAGATCTTCACCAAGAGTGCATTCAGCACTCCGATGCTTCTTTTCACAACTGCGTCCTATGACGAATCGCCGTTCATGAATGTCCTTACGGATATTCTAAAGGATAGAACCATGCTCGATAGCCGGGCAAATCCTGCAGTTCCTCTTGTATTTGCAGTCACCTCGAAAATGTCGTCCAATCCAACCCATGTTGCGCTCTTCAGAAACTACAACTACAGCGGCGGCGAGTTGCCTGATCCCTTCATGATTAATCCTGACGAAGCCAGAGAAAATCTTGATTTGCCACTGGGGAATGAAGCCAAAATCATTAGAATGAGCAACTACAGGAAGAAGGAAGAACATGTGCAACCTGTCGATGAAACTCCAGTCCCAGACAATGGATCCCGGCACCCGGTGAGTTTATGTTCGTTTTCTTGCCTTTGGCTCTATACACGATATCGAATGATTTGCTCAATACTGAATTTGATTGGAATTACGGAATCTAGGGATCATTTCGTCTCTTGCAAAAGTATGCCTTGCGGGCCTCGACGGCTGCTCCAACTGTCTTCAAACCCGTTTTAATGGGTGGCGAAATGTATTGTGATGGTGGGATCGTTGGTAAGTTTTGAAAATGTCTTGTTCTTGTGCAATAAAGTTCTTGCAAAAGATATTGCCCGGTATGGCCTGCTTCTGACGCTTTTCACGCTTCGGCATTTACCGTGCACTGGATTACACCGTAGCCAGCAATCCCTCGGCAATCGCTATACACGAGGCTCGGACCGTCTTTCCTGGTGTGCCTATTGAATTGGTGGTGTCGATAGGGACCGGAGGCTTCAAGGAACAGAAATCAGAGCCGAAAATCGGCTGGGACGGAATCATTGGTCAAATCATAAATTCTGCAACCGATGGAGAACAGATTCATCATATCTTGGAAGACGTCTTGGGAGACGGGACAACTGCTCAAGGGAAGTCGTCCGTTTCAGATACTTGCTACATGCGTTTCAACCCAGTTCTTGGAATGCCAGATGAATTTCCTATTGGTGAGCTCTTCGAATTAAGTTCCTTTGCTGCAATCCCAATTTCATGCCATCATACTAACATGCCGTTCTTGTATTTTTTTTGCATACTGGCAACGGGACAATTGCCAAAACGATGAAAACTAACTTATTTGTCATACCAGATGTCACTGATCCTGATAAGCTGCAACAGATTAAGACCATAACAAAAGCTTACATGGAAGAACCAGACCAAAAACAAAAGTTGCAGGTTTTGGCGGACATCCTGAAGGGCCGGAGCAGCACCAGGTGTTGATAGTTGCGGATTAGCAACAAGAAGATCCTTGAAAATATCTGTAAGGCTAGCAAACAGCAATACCAAGACAATAAGGAAAGCTTTAAATTAATTCAATTTTATTTGATGGAGAAATCATGTATGTCATTTGCCACTGCATGTTTGCGGTCAATATTCTACTAGTATGGTTACAATATTTCAATATGTAGACAATACAGTGATTTGATGAAAATAGGTTACTACATCTCAACAAGTGATATGATTATCTTACGACAAATAGAACAATAAGGCTGATAGGAATATCAGAGTGTCAACGCCTTTCCATTTCCATCTTAGCGCAACTAGAAGTTGGGATGGGGATGGTCATGAAGTTGTGGCATGTTGGTCATGGGAAAGAAACGTACCGTAGTAGAAAACTCTGATTAGGGTTAGACAAAAGAAGAGATTTCCAAGTTTTCGCTTTCGACCTCTCCTCCTTTTGGAGGCCATGGGAATATCACAAAGATGTACTTCGTAGTTTCTGCTTTGCTATCGAAAATGGGTTTTCAGACAGTGCTGACAGAGTTTCAAAGAAAAGCTAGTTACCTCCACGTCCTCTTTGGTATCCTGATTGCATCAAGGCTCCATATACTTGCCAAGGCAGAATGTGGGTCTTTTGGCTGTTCTCTAACCGCGGTCGATATCATCTATGACGAGTCCGCCAGAGAAGCGCTGTCCATTTTGCGACAAACAGATCCCAAGAAGAACAGCCACGACGAAGGAACCAATGGGGAATACATTGATAGCCTGAAGCTATTGGATCAGAGGAGCGAAGCTTTGTCAAAGCTGGAAATCGCGGGCGACGAATCGAAGACTACCCTAACTCTGCGGGGATATAAGGGCGGGAGATTGCAAGATCAAATCAATCAAGATCGAGCTATGGTGGTTTCACCAATGGACATTCTCACCAATTCATCGAAGTCAACACCTATAGTTCAGTTGTTAGGAGTTTTCGATGGGCACGGATCAGGGGGGGAGAAAACGTCGCAGTACGCGGTGGAACAGATCCCTTCTCTGCTGGCAACGAAGTTGGGCGCTATTTTCCGGAACGAAGACGACAGAGAATCACGGAAGCAAGAAAACCTTATTGCTGAAAGCGACTCTCCAGTCGTAGAAGCCCTTAAAGAAACATTTGACGAAGTCGACAAGAACGATCCTACCCGAGGAGATGCGGGGTGTACAGCAACTGTGGTCTTGCGAGTGGGGAAAAAAATATTTATTGCGAATGCAGGAGATAGGTATGTTTGGTTTGTTGGTCTCAGTTTTCTAGCCAATGGCAAATGACTCAACGTGGTCCTCAACCTGTATATCAACGAAATAGTGTGAGTTTCATCGGGATCTACATTACAGGTGAATCAATATCAACCCACTTGCAGAAACAGGTTCAAATCGTTTATCAATCAAGAGAAGATAAACCGGACTTGCCTGATGAGAAAGCAAGAATCGAAGCAGCAGGAGGGTATGTCAGTATCCCGCCGGATGACAATGGTGATGTTTCCAGAGCCTATTACGTCGATGAACATCGACGATTGCGATACGGCTTGGCCATGAGCAGGAGTCTTGGAGACTGGAAAGTACAAGGAGTGATGTAAGATGAAAACGAGCAGTATTTTTTTTCGCTACCATTTTGGACTGGATTGATTGCAATGCTGTCAGGTCCGAAAAACAGCAACCACTAAACTTGAATTTGTTCTCTATTTCGATGCATTTAGTGCCGAACCGATTGTTGACGTTCTGACTTTAGACGAGGTCGTCGAACAGGCTTTGTCAACGTACGCTAAAGCTTGCGGTAGCAAAATTGAAGAAAGTGAAGAATTTGGGGACGAAAGTAACGGATCTTGTCATGTTGTAGACGAAAGCGACATTCACGCCTTTGCGGCCTCAATATCTGATGGCATGATGGATTATTTGAATACGAATGACATCGGCCAGGCCTTAGCTGAGGCGTTCTTTGACAGCGAAAACAGCTCACACCCCCATTCGGCAGCGGAGAACCTTATTACGAGTGCTGCAATGGGTTGGGAAGGAGAATTCAATGGACAATATAGAGATGATATCGCAATTGCTTCCTTCATAGTTCCACTTAGGTGAAAACCAATTGGCTAATTCCGCATATTGAAAAAGAATATCTTGATAAGAGTTCTGTCGTTTCGAACGCTAGATATTTGTTCATAATTTAATGTTATCAAGAAATTGATTTTATGTGAAGTATAATATTCGATCGATCTTGTAAATGCTGCAGATAAAGAATAATTCATTTCAAGCTTCAGTCAACATTTTCTTTGGGTCTATTGATGAGCTCCCGTCGGTCAAGAAATAATCCGCCTTTTGTTCATGCCCTGTAATAAATAAAGAATGGTCCTGCGCAACGTATTTCTTCCACGAAGGAATTTTTTCCAACTCGAGTTGAAACTTCATGCCGTACCCTGGGTCCTGCGTTAGAAGCTTTAAGAGCTCGACGGCGTGGACCTTCACAGAAGCTGGGTCCTTGACTCTTGATAAGTGGGCATTTTCCAGCACAGACTCGATCAAATATTTTGGAAGATCACATCGCAACGCAGACTCGAGTAGGGCTCTACGCCCATCTGCACAATTTGGGGCACCTTGAACTGTTTCAGCTGCTTGTGCTGCCGTAACGGTTGGTGATAATAATGGGGTTCGGGCGTCTATACCACGTCCTTCGTTCGAAGGCAACTGATTTTGATGTCCTGCTTGTTGATCATCCTGGCTCTGCTGATTATCATCCGCCACAGTTTCGACAATTGGAGCAACTGATTCTACCAAACGTCGGTTGTATACTTCTTCAGTTTGACTATGTTGGATTTTTGGAGGCTGCTGAAACAACTGGGTTGCAATACCATTGCCAGACACTCGGGTCTGAACCTGATTGCTCGGTTGTAGACCCGCATTATTCATCGTAATACTTTCATTGGCTCTCATTTTAAGAGATGATTTGGCAGGTGGTGAGAGATGATACTGCCCACTTTGGACTTGGTTTGATACTGCCGACGTTACGTTGTAGCCAGTGCCTGATGGCATTGATGTTTGAGCTACATTCCCTTGACGCACTTGCTGTGTCAAAGGCGTTTGACTCGACTGCAAAGTTTGAGCTGAACCCTGCCAACTCTGTCGAATGTTCGTATTGCTCGGTAGGATCTGGGCCTGAGAGGTTGCATTGTAACTTGTTTGAGATCTACTATCATATATTGAATCTGCACCTTGTCCAACGAAGATTTCCCTCGATGCCATCGTTGCCGCATATTGTTGTTGCCTATGATTGAATTCATGATTATTGCCTTGAGAAGTATACATGTTTTGTCCCATACTCACATTGGGTTGAGAATACGATCCAGGAACAGATTGATGTTGAATATTTGGTTGAGAATTAGAGGCTTGTTGTGTAATGTTCATATTCGGTTGAGAGTATGAAGTAGCGACGAATTGCTGTTGGCCACTTGGTTGAGAAGCATATGCTGGTTGTGCCATGGTTGTAGTTGGTTGGGAGTACGAAGTAGCAACAGAATGCTGCTGTACATTTCGTTGAGAATTCAATCTTTGCTGAAAAACACTTGTACGCTGTTGGCTATACGAAGCACCAACGGGTTGCCTTTGCTGCTCCGATTGACTGCTCGCATATTGTTGGCTATGTTTCTGATTTTGCGGTGTCTGATAATGTTGTGTACGATACGCCTGCTGGGCTCCCACAGAGCTTTGAAGACTCCAGAATCCTGAGTTGCTTTTCTGACTAGAAGGAATTTGATTTCCTGTCAAATGTGTGCTGTTGGTGTTTCCAATATGAGCTTGAGTATAACTCTGAGATGCGTTTGCGTATGGTCCTGGTTGTTGACTTATCGAAGGCGTCGGCATCGGAGCCATTCCCATTCCCAAACCAAGGGGGTCGTCTCCTGCGCTAACACGAACACGATTTCGTGATACTGGACCTTCTCCTGGAGCTGGTGATGGAGCCATAGCGTTATTGTAGCCAACAACTGGGTTTGGCATCTCGAACTTGATACCCGTTTTCTTAAGTTCAGCAGCCTTTTTTAGATCTCCAAGCGCCTCCGTGAATATCTTTTTCAGCATTTCGAGAATGAAGCCAGCATCAGGGTGGATGTTTGTGTCTCCTATAGTTCTTATGGTAAAGGCTACAATTCCATGCGCCGTGTCGTTTGTCCCAGATGCGATGAGCGATTCAACGTTTACTCGACTGTTGGCAGCAACATGAACCACCCGCATCACACTTAATAAAGGATATCCAAGCAAATTCCGACATAACATTTTTTCAAGAAATTTCAAACACCGCGACATGTAACCCCATTGCGCCAACTTGTCACATAGATTTGGTCGAATCTTACACAAGTAAACAATTGCATCTGTAACAGGCTGGAGTTTGTCCTGACTCCCAATTACAATATCTGTTGAAACCTTCTCTTCACCATTGTATTCATTATCAGTGCACATTTGGAGCTCATGGGTCCATCGAAGTAACAAAGCTTCAAGAAATGAAGTTGGGTCACGTATACTGAAGGTCGGCTCCTTCAAGAATCTACCCACATACACACCTCCAATGAAAAGCTCGTCTTCAAGTTTCGTGAAGTTCACCCTCACTCCGGGTTTCATATTATAATGTTCACTCCAACTTCCACTATCATGACGAAGTTGAATGCAAGAGTCAAGTTCCAGCCCTGCAACTCTTTGGAGCTCTCCGCGCATTGAGCTATCCCAGATCAGCTCTGGTGAATCGCTTTCGCCATCAAAAAGATTCAACATTGCATCCGGGCCCTCCTCTTTCAAAATCACAATCAGACTTGACGGCAAGAAATGCTCAAGCAAAGATGCTTTTATCCCAATGATGTTGAGAAAAACATTGGTATGATGTGAGAGTTAGTTGTGAATCTAAAGTATTTTCGTGGACACTTTCGGACCTACCTAAAGTTTGACCGGTCTTCGGATCCCATAGAAGACGAGAAATTATTTTTGCTGCACCGACCCGAGCAATCCAGACTTTCGTAAAATTCGAATATCCCACCAAGATACCAAGTAGCTCTAGCCACGCAGAAGATTCTAAAATCTTCGGTGAAATTGATGGTGAGGATGACAGAGTCTCGAGAAAATTCCATCCTCTCTCTTTCTTCAGCATGTCATCCCTAGTACTTGAATCTAACGACGAGGAATCATCAGATACTCCCGGTCTCTCTAGAATTCTTAGTAGCCTCCATAACGCCCCTTCGTTGGCAACGGTGTTTACAAAACCTTGCCTGGAAGTAAGAATTGAGAGCACATCACAACCAATCTCAAATGCCTGTAAAAAATGAAGAGAATAGTGTAAGAAATCAAATTATCTCTTCCGAATCTTAAGTCAAGAGATTCACAATTGTAAAAAATATCTCACCTCAGAATCCTGCGGTAGTTCGAGAAGCGAAAGGAGTACTGATGGCGCATAGATTGTATCTTCGACGCCACTTTCGGCCCTAATCATTAGTCTTAGAGCAGACATTACCATGATGAATCGCCGATCCGTGATAGGTACTGTTTCGAGAGAATCACTCAATACAATGTCCTCCTCTGCCTTTGTAGTAGGCAACTTCAATTCAATCCAGTCGGGTGGAAGACCGTCGAAGTCATTTACACACCTTGCGATATACTTTATTAATTCCTTCGCAAAGAACTCCGGGTCGTCAACATCTCGAAGATTTCCTTTATCAACTCCAACTTTGTTGAAGACTCGAACATATATTCCACCAATTTGTAACTCGTTTTTCAGCGAACTGTACTTGAATCCATTTAATGCATTCAACTCATCAGCAAGATTTTGCACTTCGCCTTCAGGTCTATTGGTCTCCATTGACGACAGCAATGCCATCAGTTCCCCTCTCATCTCAACGTTCCATATCTTAGCAGGTGATTCTAGATTTGTATTCAGAATTCGCAATATCTCACTCGTACGCTTATTTCGTAGTAGAAGAGCAATTGGACTTGTCAGCATTATGTTCAAAGCTGCCTGGAGTTCTGGATATTTGGGTGTCACCAACTTAGGATCTTGTAAAGAGCCCGACAGCATGCCAAGTGCTCTTGCGGAAAGTCTTGCCAACGTATTGTTTGAAGCTTGGGATGCGCCTATATCATCTTCGATGCTATCACGTGGGGCCGACGATTCGTCCAACGTGGGATCGTATCCGAGGAGGAATTTACCGAGTGGCCAAATAATTCCTGAACCTACTAGTACTTTCTGAAGTATAGCTGATCTTCCCATATTTGCAATACCCTCCACAGCGAATCTCTTTAGAGATGAATCATTAACTCTCTTTGGTTTTGAAAGATATTTCCCATCAATGCACCTCCTCCAATTGATGCAGAATTCGGAAAGATTAGGTAATGATTCAATTGCGCGACGTCCACTCTCGTAAAATGCAACACCGGCGATTGTGTGTACAACAGTGGAAAGAATTTCGTACACTACATCGTCCCCTGCCTTCCCTGAAATGTCTCCAGTTCTGTTTTGGAGCAAGCCTCCTGCATGCAAGTAGAAGTCGAAGACGGAATAAAGAATAGGAACTCCCAACTCTGAGACAAGCTCTTCGGCATTTAACGGAGATACAAGACATGTTCGAAAGAGAAGATCAAGACAATCTCTGACGAATAGTGCTCTTTGTTCCATGAACAAGGCTGATGAAAAAATTTCAGCTCCCTCGTCAACAACTTTTCGCGCTTCGATACAAGTATCAGGCAACTTTAAGCACGAAAGAAGAAGCTGATACGCCGGATACTTGTATTTTCCAATTTCTACTTCGAATCGTCTACAGATCAGTACCTGTGTCTTGATCAAAAGTTGCAGTGTCTCCATCTGTGATCTACCGCCAGAAAATCCCTCAGCGCAATTTGACGACACGTTCCCATAATCGTTGGCGCCGACCCCCTGGTCGTGGAATATTTTCAATTTTTGTCCACTCTCAATGATAGGAAGTAGCAATTCATATGCCTTCTGAACTGCTTCGAACATTTCTCTACCGGCAGGATTCTGATGGGTGAAAACAATAGCGCGTTAGACCTTCAATTATGGAGCAAATCGATGTAACCAAACCATAATACAATAACATACCTTATCAGGGTGATATTTCCGAGCCAACATTCGGTACGATTTGCGCAACTCTTTGCTACTGTCTCCAGGCTTCAAACTCAGTATCTTAGTTGCTTCTTGCAGGGCCTCTTCCTCGTCACTTTCATCGCGATACATTTGTTTCTTGAATTCTTCGAGACAGGACCGGAAAACTTCGACAGGTTCCGATATCGGCCAGTCAGGGAATCGTACCTCATCACAAAGGTTCCTCAAATAGTAGTTGTGACAAAATATCTCTTTCTTGAGCCGCTTATAAGCAACGCTAGGCATTGGACAGTATTCGTACTGCGTTGTAGTATTTTGCCAAAGACGTTTCGGGAAATCACCCAGATGTTGACGAACCATTTCGATCAAGTGTTTTCGCATCTCCAAGTCCCAGATAACTTCTGGGTTATCGCTATATCCAACAAAAACATCACTAAATCGTTCAATTCCATAGTTCATAAGAATGTAAAGAACCCCATCTGGTAACAAGCCACCCAACACGCTTCGGTCCTTAATTGGTAGCTCGTCATTCTTAGCAGCAGCAGCATACCCTGATCGAAAGTGTTGATCAAGGTGCGTAGAATGAATCAATCTCGCCAGCGCTAGGAAATTACTTCCCGTGTAACATGCCATGAAGAAATAAACACCTGTCAAGTATAGTTTCGATGTTGCTTCTTCATTGTATTGCGTCAAGTTGAAAAGAAGGTTTGACGCTCTGTCGACGACATCGGGATCATTACACAATATCGACTGAGCTATGACAGACAAAAAGGATACGCGCTTGTCGACCGTCTCTCCACTCGTACTTGAAAATGGATCTTTGCTCAAGCCACAAATGATTCGTTTTGCGATTGGAATTGGGTAGTAAGGAAGACCACGCGAGTCCAGACTACGATGAAGATCAACAAGTCGAGTCAACGAGAGAACGGCGCGTTTCGCCACCTCGGATGGAGAATAGATTCCCGTATCGTTTCCATCGGTACAAAGCTGCCAGCGAAGTTGCCAGATTTCATCCAAGCGTTTCCATTTACCTGTATCAATCTGAATCGAACCTGCATTACTTGTTCCATCTTCTTCCTCATAGCTTTCGACATGAGTGGAGGTAACAAGAGTAAATGGAGAAATTTCTCCGGATTCCATCATTTTCTTTAATTCTGAAACTTGAAACGGTCCTCGAACAGTTTCTGGTGGAGGAGGAATCCTGTGTGTTGTTGCAACAAACCAAACAGGAGGGCATCCCGCATTACGGACAGAAATCGAAGGCTTACCGGATATTGCGTGGGCGTAACCACTCGGTTGAGTCTGACTACCATCTGTTATCAATACAGACTTAGGTTGTGTAGCTTCTAAAAGAGTGGTCATGAGGTTTCCAACCTGAACACCATTCGTGTGACCCCATGCAACAAACTGGCAGAGCTGTTCAATACTATCAACATTCAATAATTGCTCAGCATTTTCTGGGACGTTGACGCAGTCGTCATCTCCTTCGCCATCTTGTCGAACTCCCAAAATCGTTGCAAGAAGACCGAGAAGCCTGTGTTGCGTCTCAATATTGCGAGTAGAAGCCATCGATCGAATCAAAATCATTACGTCTGGAAATGCGCCAATTTTTTCTCCATGAACGGCATACAATCTTTCAAGACACCTCACGCACATGACGGTTACCTTCGTGTTGCGATCAAGTTCACACAGTAGCCTCCGGAATAGCAATTCGAACAATCGAAGGGGTTCATCCCATGTCTTTATAAATCCGTCACCCGCTTCAAGCCACAGCCTCATGTAAACGCTGCCCACACTAAGCTCAGTATCCAACGAAGGATAATCAATTGTGTATTGCTGGTGATTCCAGGCAATTTTGTCCATGCCACGAGCCTCTGTTTCTCGGTAAATGTATTGAATTTCACTCTCCAAACCTATGCGTAGCTCCCGTCGTGTTTGCTGATTCCAAATCAAATCTGGTAGGTTATGGTCTTGCGTCAATGTATGAAAAAACACCCTGAAATTCTCAGGGGTTTGCTTCTGCTGCACGCCATGAATTGAGGTCGCTCTGGCCAGAGCAATTCTTGAACGCAGTCGAGCAGTATTTGTACCAGCAGCACCCGTCATTTGATCGCTGGTCCCTGCGCCTTCAGGAATATTTTCTTCAATGACATCTTGTTCGATAACATCAAGCTGTTCTTCTTCTGCCCGACTCAGGGGCGGCATCTTGAGGTATGGGATAAAGCCTCTCGGAACCATTCGTTTCAAAAGCTTCTTTTCGTCGCAATTCATGGGTCCCGATAACCAGAGGCTACAAAGAAATCTGGAAAGGAAGCGCTGACCGGCCATTGGGCTAAATATTGCCGCGTGAAAATGATGAAGAAGGATACCGGACGCAAGGGAAGCTTCTCGAATGGCATCTGCGACTGTTGGAGCGTGGGTGTTTAGAAGATGCAAGAGAAGTGCTGAGTTTTCTAGTACAAACGGGGTTTGTTGATACAGCGTATTCAAAAGTGCCGAATAATTTTCTCCCAACGCTTTCATGAAGCTTGCAAATACCTCGGGACTTGTTGTATCTGCGCAAGAGCACAAAACAGATTGCAATATGTCACTCATCACCATTCGAAGTAAGTCCGAGCCACCTTGGTCAAGTATTGACTGCACCATATCGTGAACAATCCGCGGTCCGCCGGCATTAAAGATGACCGACTTGTTCACATACTCGATTTCCTTGTCACGAAGCTTCCCCGGAAGACCCGAAAGCAAAACAGTGATTGTACGAAAGGCCCAGAACTTCGAGAACGCATTGTCAATTGTCAATAGTAGTGGTATGCAATCAAGAAAAGTGGCAAGTTCGATCGAACTCCTATAGCCGGCAGGAGTTTTGGATAGACGATGCAATGTTTGAAGTATGGGTCCAGCAGCTTGCTCGGCTAGATTTCGATCCTTTTTGGATTCTAGGAGCCAKGCTACCAAACCCCATAATGATCCAATCGATCCMAAGACTTGTTTGTCATTTTCTGCTCTCGGAAGGCCTTCTGCGGTTGGCAAAACGCTCGCATTAAATTCCCGACAAATCTCAACTACGTTGCGACATTCACTAATGGGGTTCATGGGAACACCGTCCTCTGTAGAGGATTCTGTGCTACAGTTCATGTAAGAAAAGGCAGCGGTACCCACTGTATGAACCCGCTTCAGACAATGCAGGGGAATCGAAATCGGTTGAAATATACCCCCACTCTTTTCAGGGGTCGACATGGTTGAAAAACTCGCTAAACAGTAGCCTCCCGATGGAACATCTGACACTTGAACCTGTGACCACAACAACAACATTAGGATTGAGTTTTTCAATGTTGTGCGACTAGAGCGCGACCTGACAAAATGTTTTTTTGTTGGACGAAGAATTGGAACCTACCTTTCTGTTCTTCCCGAGAGTGGTGGCGGCATCCAAGAGCGACACGAGGAGGGAATCTCTGGATTTCGACGAGTATTTTTTGGAGTGACCATCGCCGTATTCCAACCAGATGGTATCACCAGCCGCCGATGGCCGAACAATTGCGTACAATCCCGACAATTGTCGTATCGAAACGATCGCACCTGATTCGTCCTTTTCGAGGACCTCGCCCGTTCCCGTAATGCACAAGCGCCGGTTCACGACACCGCCCGGCCAACCTTTGCCCGATGCCGCACCAACCACACTGATGTCGTGACGCCTAGATTGTTTTGTCACCATCCATTCCGTTGCTACGGGGACAGTCTTCTTCGGACGTTGCTCCTGTCGCCTACGATCTTTCCACTCTTGGAGCGTACAGGAGTCGGTCATGTGCAACTCCAGGCCGATTCGATCTTCCGCTTGCCTCATCCACATTACAATGTCGGATCGTGACTTGTTGGTAAAACAAAACAGCCGGGCCTTTCTAGTCTTTAAATGCAAAATTACTCCGGTCTGATCGTCCGAAAGAAACGAAATGGCAGAGATGTCTATAAATCGATACGTCTGCATACTTAATTTCGAAATGGGATGAATCTCGACCAGACCGTACGGAGTCAATCGAAGAGACGACGGCACCACGTGTCCGTGGCGCGTCCACCTATTGCACAATATGATGGGAGCGGATTTATTCATTCCAGGAGCGACGCTGCCGCTTTTTTCGGGGTTATTGTCGTGTTCGTCTTTGCATTGCAACAGGGCCGAAAGGGCCATGGAACGATCGACGTGATGGCACTGAAATTTTAGTTTGTCCGACGTGACCTGCAGCAAAAACTGATCCTTTTCAACCGCTATGAAATCCGTCAGCTGTCCGTAGTTCCAGGTGTTGGTGACCTGATGGCTATCTGGGTCGACCGTCGAGAAATGGTCGTCGTACAAACACAGCAAACGGGTGTACCCCGTTCTCCAGGTTCGAAGTTTCGTTATCTATACCATTTCAATCGGCAAACAATGAATCATTAGCGACGCAATTCATCGGCCACGGATACGATACAACGAGTCGAAAGCAGTTGAATCCGCCAAGAAGACGAAGTATACATACCTGAAATTGATAGAGCGGTCTTTTGCCACTGACCAAGGCGTCTTCGTGTCGCTGGGCCATTGCCGCGGTTGGTTTAAACCCTAGGTTGGGTCCCAATGGTTTCTTGTTGGAGTTTGGAAGGTTGTCTTTGGCTTTTTTCATCAAACCCTTAAACTTTTCCTGGACGGCTTCAGTGGCTGTCTGCTCCTGTGGCTGTGGTTGCTGTTGTTGTTGCTGCTGCTGCTGCTGCTGGAAATGACCTGGATTCGCAATAGCTCCGTTCAGATTCGCATTGGGATTGGGGGAATTGGCCAATGGAGCACCCTGTGTAATCTGTTGCTGTTCCCTCATCACAACACCTTCGCTTCCTAGAATTGTCTGCTGTACTTGCTGGTGATTTTGTTGAAGAACCTGCCTTGGCTGCTGCGTTTGCTGCGAATATTGTTGCGCTCGCTGCTGTGGCTGCTGCTCGAGGGCATATTGTCCGTACACTGCTTGATTCTGGTGGGGAATCGAAGCACCCGGATGGTTCGGTGGTTGCGATGGTAGAGGCATCAGTCCTCCCCCATCATTCATCGTGTTGGGATTATTGTGATTGTTCATAGCATTTGTTTACGCGCTGTCCTTGATTTTTCAAGTAGGACACGACCGATCGACACAATCCTAGTTTCAGCAAGCCGTTCAAGCTAGATTGCCTCCCTGGATTATCGCTCTGTTCTTCTATTTCTAGAGTCGGCGTGCAACAGATTTTTTGTGTACTACGAGATGTGGGTTCCGCCGCTGGGATGGTCGAGAAATAACCTAGTTCGATTGGTCTTCCGGTCTTTTTGGATTTTCTATCCCGGTGACAATAATCTGCTCCCAATCAAAAAATTGATGAACGAATCATCGAAGAATCGAATCGGGGAAAACGAAACCAAAACGGAAATAGCGAAGCAAGAAGCACCTCCAACGTTCGATCTCTTCCCGTACATTACCGTACGGTACATACCGTACGCAGTTGTGTCATGTCATGATTTTAGTTGTTGGTGATACCGGTAGTTTCCTTTGAGTACCGGCCGGTATCACTGTACTGTACTTCGTACGAGTTAGAACGTACGTACCGGTACTCGTACTCATAGGAACTCATACTTTGACTCAACAGAGCATTGAGATGGATCCAACCGATGGATAAGTAGGATTTCTGTACMATGAATTACACGACGTACGGTACTTTTTGTACACAATTGGCAAATCTAACTGCGGGAAATAAGTTAGTCGAGGAAGTCAAGAAGTCGAATTGACGAACGGTTCTTCATCCGTTGAGAAAAAACACGGTGGAATACGGAAATAATGGGTGATTCCCGTTACTCTAGATCCCTAAAACTCTAAATCTAGGGATCTGGAGTAACGGGAATCAAGACAATCAACGGACAGACTGAGAGGATGCCCGCTCGATGCCAATCTTATGCGGAATTTGGAACCCTAATTATTTTTCAACGTAAAGACTAAAAGACTTAACGCGCGCTGCAACGGATACGTACGTATACGATACGAAGCTCCGAAGAAAAGAATGAAGGATCATACCATTCCTACGTACCTATCGTAAGGTATGCTTCCTATGTATGTATCATAGGATGCATCATAAGAACACTGAACACGTAAGA